AGTTTGCTTTGTTTTTTTTTTTTTACTTTCACGTGCAGCAGTTACTTGTTTGTTTTTCCCATATATATGCATATATATATATATATATATCGCTCTTTGACGCTCTATTTTTCTGCTGCTTGTCTTTAATTCATTTTCCGTGTGTTTTTTTTCTTGCCCCACCCATTCTTTTTGGTGCTCTTGTTGTTGTTTCGTTTCTTTTTTCCTTTCTTTTTTGCACCATTTTCTCCGGTTCCTTGTTTTTTTTCCGTTTTTTTTTTCTTCGCTTCCTGTTGCCGCCCTGCTGGCGCGCGCGCTGTGTCTCCCTCCCGCCCACCTCTACAACGGGCAGTGAAGCGGAAGGCGAGGCTTAGTTGTGGCCCTTCAGCGTGTGCGAGAGCGGCGTGGATGGGAATGCCGTGCTTTTGCCGGCGGCAAACGACGCGAAGGTGTGCGCACTTCCGCCAGGTATCGTCGTGCTGCTGGGCGTTGCCGCCGCCGACGCGTCTTCGTACAACCCGTACAGCACACCGTTGCTGCCTATGGGGGGATTACCGCCAAAGCACTCCCGGAGCAGTTTAAAGTAGCAGTGGCCAGTGAGGAGGGAGTCGCTGCCAGCCTGGTGCGCCATGCCGAAGCGGCGCACCCGGAGGCTCGCCGAGAGGTGATCTAAACCGAGGGAGTGCGAGAGATCCGTGGAACGCAGAAGATACTTGATGTCGTACACGCAGGGAAAGAGGGAGTGAAAGATCTGCAGAAAGTCTTCCTCCTTCTCCGGAAGATCCTTGCCGCAGACTACCTTCATCAGGTACCCAAAGTCGTATCCGGCCTGGAAAGCGAGCCAGCGAATGTCGCTGTTGAGGACGAGGCCGCTCGAGATGAGCAGTTCCGCAAAATGCGACACCTCAACTCCGTACTGCGCAAAGTAGTCAAAGTCAATGCCGCCGTGGCGAAGCAATTGGATACTATCCTGTGCATACACGTCCTCTGTGAGGCAGAAGCGGAAGTTAAACTGCCAGGTGCAGCAGTTTTCGGGTACCTCGCCCTTTTCATTGAGCAGCGTAATTCCTAGCTGAATCATCTTGAGCATATTTACATTACAGCGAAGAGTTTGGTAGTAGAACTCGTGAGTTGCCTTGAAATTACCGACAGGTTTCGCTACCACTCCGGGGAATTCCGTGTCCATGGACACATACGGGTAGTCCTTGATAAGGGACCGGATGACGCTGAACTCCTCCTCTAAGTTGTCCTCCCACACATCACGAATCATTGGCGACTTGCTAAGGGAAGGAATGGCAGCAATCCCGCCTTGGCTAGCAGCAACAGGGTAGCGTTGTTGGTACGCCCCATACTGTGCTACAGCACCACCGTACTGCATCATTTCTTCCTCTTCCTCTTCGCCTTCTTCTTTGCCTCCCCCCGCTCCCTCTGCGACGAAGGCGGTGACAATTTGACAAGCTCGTCTCACCCACGCAAGACGCCCCACTCCTGCCTTGCCGGCCTCGTTCCTTTATTTTCTTCTTCTTTTCTTTTTTAAGTTATATATTATCTTCTCGTATTGGCTGTCCTCGTGCTAATCTACCTGCAATCCAAGATGGGAGAAACGAAAAAAAGAAAAAAAGGGCAGCCGCAGTCAAGACAGACAGTTGACAGAAGGAAGAATAAAGAAGAGAGGAGGAGCGCCGCTGCCACGCAGCAAAGTGCAAAGTTCCTGAACGACATCCTGACACCTTTGACGTCCCACACAGGCCAAAAAAAAAAGGAAAATGCTTGTGCACACGCAACTGGTAACGATAACAATCACCCAGCCGGCCGCGCCGTCAGTCACGCAGCAGTGACAACGCAGTCTGCAGGGAGAGCGCACAGGCGTCGTAGCAGCTATCCTGGTGCCTCAATTCAACATTCATCACTTCACCCGTCATCGCCTGGAGTTCCATTATGGTGGGCGCTGCATGAGGTGGGACCATCAACAGACTCATTGAGTGGAGCCGCTTGAGGAGAGTCGAATTGACGCCGAAATTCCGCGTGAAGCTCGTCGCCGCGTCTTCCTCTACATGTCTGGAGACATTCAACGCCTCCCGCACCACCTGCTGCATGGCACTCAGCAATGACGGCGTCTGCTGACTCTCCTTTCCACTCTTCCCAAAGTACAGCATGGCTCGGGAGACAGCCACGCCAATGGCGTTCGCGAAACTACGCAGCAGGGAAGCGTACTCGTCCACGGACTGCGTCCGTCTTTCCTCAAGGATATCGAATCGCATGATGAGCTCCATTGCTGCCGTGCGCACCCTATCCATTGAGACCTCCTCAACAAAGTTCTCCAGCGCCAGCTCAATGCCTTTCCTTTGCAGTCGCCTATACGCCTCATGCAAGCCATCCAATGCCTTCATAAACGACTTCAAGGAATAAAGCTGCCGCAGGGCATGCACCAAGGCATCGCACGTGCGTGTTCTCCCTTCCACTTGCTCCCCCTCAGCGTGCATCGCCCGGCCACACTCCTCCAGCAGATATTGGAAATCCAGCAGGGAAATCGCGGCAGTGGGCAAGTTGCGGCTTGCAGCGTACGTTTCTGCAGCCTTCAGTTCCAGACGCAGCCCGCTGTTTTCGTCTTCCAAGGCGTGCAGACGCTTTTGCAGCAGAGCGACACGCCGCGTGAGGACGACGTCGGCTGCGAGCGGGGGGTGCTGATGTGGTGGCTGCGGCAGAGGCCTCGACTCCATCTCCTCGTCCACCGTGTCGCCGCGGTAGATCTGTAGCCGAGCCAGCAACGCCCTGGTGGAGGCCGTCATTTGCTGCGGCCCATATGGGATTTCCGCGCACGTACGCCCAACCCGGAAGAGAATAAAAAGGACGGAAAACAAATACAACAACAACAAAAGGAAGAAGAAACCAACTGGAATTCACAGCCGGGAAAAGAGGCACAATACACGTGCCGCCTTACTAACAAAATGCATAGCCAACGCTGTAGAAGGGTGTGGAGTCAGAAAGTGCCGTCCGGATTTACCCACGCCGTACGAAGCCGCGCAGCTCTGTTAGACTGTGCCGCCTCCTCGAGAAGGTGCATGCGTGCAAGTTCCCGCACACCCGCGGGGATATCGCTCTCGTCCAGACTCTGCAGCTCCGCCCCCCGTGCGTCCTCCTTCACCGAGGCCCGAATTGTCATGGCGGCCCCCCCACTAGGTGTTCCCCTCCTGCTCGCCCTCTCCAGCGTGTCCACCTCACGCAGTAGGCCCTGGACAGAGGCCACTAAAACTTGCAGGCTTAGCTCGTCGCTTGACGTGTGCGTCGGGGCCACCCCTTTACCCGCAACGCTATCACCTCCACCGCTGCCCTTGGTATCGGTGGCGCGAACAGCGCGGGTAAGGGCCTGGAAGAAACATCGCGGGTCGTCCTCCTGCACAAGTGCACGGAGAAGGGGAATGGCTGCGCGGAATCCGTCGTCCTGACGGGCACGCCTCGCCACACAATGCAAAATGTCTGCCTGCTCCGCCTCGCTAAAGACGGTCCGTGGCAGGCCCTGAAACTCTGGCAGGAGCTCGTTTTTTTTTGCCCGAAGCAACACAAAGAGCAGGTGGCATACCGTGCCATCACGCGCCAAAAACGAGGCGAAGGTCGTCACAGTTTTAGGACCGCAGCGCAGGCCCTTTTCCCGCGCGTACACCTCCACCGCCAGCGAGAGCGTTCTCTCCGAAAGTGGTACGCCCATGGCTCCTGCAGCACGTATCACCTCCCACTTTTTCACGTGGCTTAACGTCAGTGCGTAAAAGGCAAACATGCCGTGGGCTGCCACAGTATCGCTGCGGTACTCCGTCTGAAGGCGTTCACCCAGACGACGCTGCAACAGCATCCCCTTCGCGGAGTGCCACACCGCAGAGTGTTCAGCTGCCACGGGGCTCACAGAGGGGTGCTGCATGAAAGAAAAACGATTTCATCGAATGGAACATCGTGGTCTGCCATGTGCTTGGCGTAAGCCAAGGCCTCCTCCACCCTCCCGCTGGCTGTACAACAGTACACCCAAGCCGACAAAACCTCAGATGTCATAGCTTGCTGTTGCTCTAGCCGTCGGAAGAGCAACTGGCAAGTTGTAAAGTAGTGTCGATCAAGAATACACTGGTATGCCGCCATGCATAGCAGCGTCCGCAGCAAGGTGGGGGACAACGCAAATTGCTCCTCAGGCGGGTTCTGCAAAGAGGCGAAGGTCCGGCATTTCATAAAATCTTCGTACACAACGTGCGGAAGTGGTGCATCGCTTGCCTTCAGGAGCGTCTTAAACAAAAAGAAGTAATTATGTTCCATGATGTACCGAAGAACATCATGGTAGGGCAAACGCTCAGCGATTTTCTCCAGGCCCTCGTGTATTGGTGAATTCCAGAGGCTCTCTTTGCTGGGCAGGTACACACTGTTGCGCACCAGCGGCTTACACGCAGGCAATTCGTGTTGCAGCCACGCCTTGTTGAACTTCCCGCTGCGCTCCGCGTCAAAGCGGGGCGACGTGGGCAACGTGCACGGCGGGTCCGGCAGCTTGACGGCCTTCTCGCGAAGGCAAAACAAGTACTTCATTGGGGCGTCCTCGCCTGGGCGGAGGCGCGTCCGGTGCAAGCGCCGCATAAACACGCCTGCAGAGCCCCCTCCTGATTCCGCGTAGCGACGACATAAAGCATACGAAAGGATAAATTGAAAAAGAGAGAAAGTAAAAAAGAAAGATAAAAAAAACAGAGGAGGAGGAGGGAGGAGGGGGGGGGGAAGGAAGTTAAACTCGTCCGAGGGACTAAAGGATGGAACAGCGATACCGTCTTCCTCCTCACGTCTAGAGACAGGCGCACCCAATGGCACCCACAGTGTGAGTGAGGGAGGGAGAGAGGAAGCCAAGGATGAGCCATCAACGCTACACGTCAAATCACACAGATATATTTTGGGAACTGTGCAGAAGTTTAAAGAAGAATAAAACAACAACAACAAAAACACTTGCAAAAACCAGTCACGCAAACGACGCCTCAGCCCCAGAGCCCTCCAGTCTCAAGGAAGAGGGCGACACGCCGAAGCGGATGGGGGAGCCTAGTTTCGCCCAGAAGGCCCCCGCAAGAACTCGTACAACTCCTTCTGCGGGCGCATGAGGAAAAGCTGCGGTCGTGTTTCCCCTGCCACCCTCGTGAGGCGGATCCTCTCCTCGACGCTGTTCACCTGCGTCACCTTGATTGACCCGCCGCAATTCCGATAGTTGTAGCACTCCTGGAAGATAAAGAGAACCTTTTTTTTCTCCTCCTCCGAGTCAAAGACGACCGATATCGGCGGCTGCGGAGGACCCGCTGCGGCGACTATGCCCAACTCGCCCCCAGGGCCCACGTAGAGTTCCGTCATGTACTGCATCGCCGCACAGTGCTTGATGGATCGCCCGTCACTACCGGGACCCCCTTCCCTTGCAACAAAAAAACACGTAGCCGTCACCCAGGCACACCGGCGCCGCTGCCTCTTGGAGCCCTTCCAATCCTTTCCTGACTGATGAATGAAGCCGAACCAGTGTACTATTTTAAGAGCAATGGGGGCAAAAATACCTGCAAATTGTTCAGGTATGTTGACGATACGAAGGCCCGTGCGAGGGTCCTCCACGAGCCTCCAGGTGTGACTCTTCTTGTTGAACAGTTGCATCTCCTTCTTGAACACCTTTGCCTGATCAAGGGTGGAGGGCACCACCCTCACGTTTACCTTCCAAAATCCCGCGATCTTCTGCAGTATGCTCACCAGTCGATCCGTATGCTGCGATGCTTGCAGGAAGAGGTCAAACGCATCCAATGTCCTCAGACCCACCGCAAGGCTATCAAAAATGTGTACTTCACGCAGCCGTTGGATGTCAATACAGGCAATCACTGCCCCTGTCTGGACATCACCGAGGTACACACAATTTGGGGTGACAAAGCAAGCGACGAGGGACTCTTTGCTGCCAAAAAAGCCCTTAAACAGCGACGTCAGCACCTCTGCGAAAAAAAGTCGTCGGCCCATCTTGGTGCCAAACAAACTGTAGAGGTTCCACTCTGACGGAAGGCAGGTGAGGTTGAAGCGGGCATCGTGCAACTGCGACTGTTGGCTTCTCTCGTCCTCCGCGTCGTCCATCGCGGCCGCCCGCCCCCTGTGCGGCACGGGTTCGTCGCTGTACTGGGAGTAGAACTTATATATCTCCTCCTCATCCTCACGAGACACGGCGGTCGCTGGGGCGGTATCCCCGGTCCGCGGGAGCGCCGCTGCTGGCGTGGGCACAAACGACGCGGAAGCGATGTCAGTCATCACGGCCCTCCCCGATGTCCCAGTAGGGAGGATGCCTACCGGCAGAGGCTCCTTTTCCTCAAACAAATTTGCCACGGCGTCACCGCGCCGGGTGTCGAGGACAATGTCCTTTCCCTCTGCCAGCCGTCGCCGGTCCTCCTCGTACGCCTTCTCCCAGTCATCCATTTCGCCGTCGTTCCCCCCACAGACGCTTGGCACACTCACAGGTTGTGAAATGCATTTATATAGTGAAACAGCAAACAGGAAAAAAGTAAAACAGGAAAACAAAAGTATGAATGAATGAACGATAGTGGAACGCGGAAAAAGAAGACAACTCATATACGCTACTTTAGAAAACCACATAATCAGTTGGCGGGTTTCGCCTTTCTCCTTCCACGTTCTAGTTATTTGTACATCACGTCATGGAGAGTACCATTTACATCGGTGTCACACATCTACCGGGTGTGGGCGTCCTCAAGCTTCCCTATCACCTTGAAGGACCACTGCATATCCTCTGTGTCAACAATGAGCGTCCCCTCCACCTGCGGCAGACGTGCAGAGGGGGCGAATCGCACCTGCAGCGGCGTCGCGCTCCCTGGGCTCCGCTGACCCACCAAAAAGGGATGCAGCACCCCACGAGTGTTTATCACCGACAAATCCCGCGAGCTTTCGGGGGTGAAATAGGCACTGAAGGGAGAGCTGTGCGGAAACACGTTATACATGGAAAATGTGACGGCAGACACGGTGCGGAAGGCCGCCTTAATAGTCACCACATCGTCCACCTCCGCGCGTACGGCGTCTAAGACGATAGAATACCGCCAAACCGCACCCTTCTCCGAGCGAACGACAAGGTCGGCCGTTGCAAGAAAAGGCCGCAAAGGCGCAAAGCGCATCTTTACCGTGAGCGACCCTTTTGCCGTATCGGAGGCTTCCAAGGTGCTTTGAAAACTTGACTCCACAGCGTTCGCGTACTGCTGCTGATGTTCCAGCTCCAGCACTACGGAGACTTCCTTCTCCTCTTCCGTAAGCCCCGGCGGGTTCAACGTAACCGTTTCCTCCACCTGGCGTCGTGCCACACAACGAAACCGCAGAGGCGCATCGCGGCAACGCCATTCCGCCACACCCCTCAGCGGAAACCTCCACGTAACGTCTTGCACCTCCTGTGTCAAAGAGTCAGGACGCACAAGGACGGTCGCAGCATGGCGACCAACAGACTTGGGCGTGTAGGTCAGTGAGATCGCAGTCTCCGCCCCTGGTGCCATGAATGGCAGCTGCGGCATCGTGGTCAAGCTGTAATAGCCATCCTTGTCGCTGGTGAGTCTGACGTTAGGGGTCATGGGGACATCGAATGGATTCTTGATCTTGAGGGCGACGGACACCTTTCCCCCCACCTCACACACACACTGCACTGGGGGACTCTCCGCAGGTTGCATACCCACACCGCGGCAGTGATATCGCCACTCGCCAAGATCTGGATTGTACAATTTCAGCATCGCCTCCTGGGGTCTATCTACGGCAGTGGGCGTATACACAACGTCAAGGGTCAATTCCGAGTAGGCTGGAATCGTCAGAAGAGCTGGCGCGGTTGAGAAGTTACGGGGGTTCGAGTTGGAGACGTAAAGATTCCGTTCCACGGAGGTGTCGTTCGGGATTCGGACCTGCCGTATATCTGGAACCCCAATCTCGCTTTCAAAGGTAATCTCCTCTGGAACCGACTCCTCCACAATAATGCGCAGTTCATACCAAAACTCGCCTGCCTCGTCGCTGCAGAAGGCGAGACGCCCGTCGAAGGAACCAAGTTGAGAGGGAACAAACAACAAGGAGTACACCGCAGGAGCGCCTGCCTCCAGAAGAAGAGAGTTCTCACCAAAAAGGCCCGGACCAAAGCGACGCACGTTGAACACAATGGATTTGTTCGTCGGGTTGTTAATGCTCACATCGGCTGTCACAGGAGTGCGTGTGTCTGTCTTTATTTCAACCGTACCCTCCTTCTCAGGGGGACTGACGTTGACGGTGATAGCGTACCAGGCGTAGCGTCCATTGGGGGCACGACAGACGACAGTCCCGGAGTAGGTGCCGCCCATCATAGGATGCAGCACGAGCAAGTACCTCGCGGTGGATCCTCGGTGCACCAGCACAGAGGAACCCCCGCGTGCAAAGGGCAGATCCGTCTCCACGTGATAGGTGGCATCCACACCACTGACATCAGGCACGGTCAATGGCACGGTACAACGTTCGCGTGCCCGGCACTCAATGACGAGTGCATCCTCGGACAAGGGCTCCTCTGCCTCACCGATGAGAACGTAGGTACAGCGCTCCCCGGTCTCGTTGTTGAACAAGGTTAGATTCCCCTTCGCAGATGATGTCCAAGCAGGACTGTAACGCAGTGGATACTCGCGCTGCTTCCCACGCGGAACACGCAACTCCTTTGGTCCACTGAAGCCTGGACCTTCCACGGTGGCCTTGATGAGCCAATTCTCATTGCTGTTGTTAGTAACAGGCAAACCCTGTGTGATAAACTGCCTCGCGGGGCAGGCAAAACGAAGGACTCCCTTTTCCCCGGTTGGAACACACTTCCCAGTCACCTGAATACTGCGCACGTCGTACTTTGAAGCAAGCAGAATATATCCGTTGTACTCACCAAGCTGTTTGGGCAAAAATGAGAAACTAAGCGGTACCATTGACTCACCTGACACAAAGGCAATACTATCAGGCCCACGGTAAAAAGGATTCGGACCAACGTTGGCCTCATTCACAAAGGTCACAGTGTAAGGTACACCCACAAGGTCAGGCATAAGGGAATTCTTCGCGGCGCGTGAGGCAGGGGGGCGGCGATGCTCCTCAAGTGTACGCAGCATCCGCTCAAACGGCACATTCTGAAACTTTACCAGTAACGTGTGCGTGCACTCCTCCCCGGACTCGGCCCGGATGCTCACTTTATCCGTCACTTTTGGTGGTGTGCAGGTGCCAATGACAAGGTAGGAGAACTCGCCCTGCTGTTCATCATGAAACGTGATGCGTGCCTCGTACTTACCGCGGGCGCATGGAACAAACTGTATCATCACCTTTGTTGCCTCGCCGCTGCGGAAGGGAATGACGCCGGCAGAAATGTTAAAGGCGTTATGTAGGGTTTTCCCAAAGTCCCCCTCTGGGTACGCAGCATCACTCTTGTACTCCTGGGCAAAGCGAAGGGTGGCAACACAGTTCTCCTGGAAAGGGCTCTCCACCAGCATCTCATGCTGGAGTGCCGTGTACAGTGGCGTCTGAATATTTACGACGCGCAGCGGCTCCTGGTTGGGTACGGCCACAAGACGAAACGCGATGGGCGCGCGCTCCTCCATGAGGCAGGCAGAGGTATCCACTACCACACACTCCCCTTCCACGCGGCGGTTAAAACGCAACGTCACCTCCACGTTGAGTTGCGCCACGCCACCAGCGTCGACGCTAAAGTCCCGCGGCAGGGCGCGGAAGACGGAGTTGCCCATCTCCACAGTGTAGGTGCGCTCAGTGTTCGACGTGTTCGCCACCTCCAGCGACCGCGACATTGGGACCAGCAGTTTTCCCTCGAGTGAAAGGACGGCAGTCGGGATGAAGCGTGGCAGGAGAATAAAGAGCGTCACGACGAGCAGCAGCCAGTCGACTGTGTTGTACTCCAGCAGTTCACGCGGTGTGGCTCGCACAGGGAACCCAATGTACATCAACGCCCCAAGGAGCACTGCAGCATTGTTCTCCATCTCTGTTTGCGTTGTGGGCTCAGCAACGAGGCGCTCCATCGACGACAAGCGTGCAGCTGCCGAGGGCACGTACGCGAGAATGCAGGCAAGCACACCCACACAGTCGCGTAGATCGTCAAACCCCAAGATCACCCTCGTCCCACCCTTCAGCACCCCACTTCTCACGCACTTGCGTACATTGTAGGTCACCCAACGCAGAAGAAGACCCTCTTCCGGGCTAAAAACATTGCTGTCGCGAAGTGCCGCCTGAAACGGTGCCGATTCCCAGGTGGAACGGGGAAAGTACGTTTTCGTCGCGGGGTAAAGCCGCAGCATGGCCGCAAGGTCCACCTTGGGAAGGTAAAGCACACGAATAAACTGCAGAATAACCGTCACCCACGCATGATCAGCACGCACGGCGAAGGCGGCTGGTGGTAAAACCTCCCCACCGGAGCTCTCCTGGAGCGCGCAATACGCGCTGTACTTCATCAAATACGGGAGGCGAACCTCACTCAAGCACCCACCCCTAGACTTGATTACTGACGTCAGCGACTGGAGAAAAGCAAGTGACCTTTCCCCCCCACTGGGCTGAGCCAGCCTGCTTGGCCGCTTTCCGGAGAGCCTGTACGCCGCCTCAAGCAGTGAACGTCCTTCCGTCGACTGCAACGCAGGGACAAGTTCACTGACAGGCTTCTGAAAAATGCAGTGGTTTAGCCACAGTTGCAGATTCTCAATCGCATGCCGGGAATACATGCTGCGTCCAACGGCATCCACGAAAACAAATGGACCAGGCGTAGGCGTCAGGCGAGGCTCGGGACTCCCTGCAAGTGGGTGGGAAATAGGCGTTGTCGTGGTAGAGGCAACAGGAGTAGCACTCGCCAGAGCATTTTTGGTGGCGGCAGCGGCAGCGGCAACAGCGGTGCCGGTGGGAAACGCAGGGACGTCATCCCAGTAAATGAATGGTACCATCGCTTCCTCCCTTCCCTCAACCTCCTCTTCTTCTTCATTACGCTCTCCCCCTGTTGCGGCATCTTCAGCGAGGCCTATGTGTGAGCGACCGCGCTGAAACATAACGTAAGGGGCTGTCGTAAGAAATGAGTTAACAGATGTGGCGGTAACAGGAATTGTGAGGGTTTCACCCACATCTGATGTAAACGTGATGGATGTCGAGAGTGAGACAGGCTTGGAAGAGCAGAACTCCACACGGACTGGAATGCGTGACGAAGACTTGAAGATGGCACCATGTGGAAACGTGACGTGGAGTGGGCCTGCCTCTTTGCTGGAGTATCGTACCTCAATGGAGTCAAAGCCATCGTTTGCTATATACATCGTCTCTCGCACCACAACGTTGAGCGGAACAGCGGGGAAAATAAGTTCGTCCCTGTCGCATACGATGCGTGGCAGGGCCGCAAGTCCCGACACCCGCACCTCCGCACACGGACGTAACTGGTTTCCGTCCAGGTACACGCAGTAGCGCTCATGCCGGTTGCCCTCTAAGTTCGGCACAAACGTGACATGGACCAATTGACTTTTGTGGGGGGCCAAAGTGCCGCTCTCCGGGTTCATCTGGAAGGGGCACGCCTCACCAGCACTGCCCTTGTCGTCGCTGCCCTTGCTGTTCTCGTCACGGGTCAAGAGCAACTCCCACCGCACCGAATCCCCAGAGACGTTCTCAATGGTGAGTGTCAGTGGCACGGCGGTGGTCCCGACAACTGTGCGCGGGAACTCAAAGTTTTGTCGCCTGACGACTACTTTCGACACCAACGCCCGTGCAGAAACTGCGAGTGGCATCAGTGGATTCATCTCATCCGTGCCAATGTGCCGCCACACCACGAGGAAGCGCTCATCTTTGCCGACGCTGGTGGGACGATACACAACCAGCACCCCCGCCTCACTGCGGGGCGGGATGGTGACGTACACCTCGCCGGGAACGGGTTCGCCGCGACCCCGCCACTCCAGTGAGGCCACGCTACCGTCCGGGCAACGCAGCGAGTACTCCGGAAGACTGCGGAGGTCCACAAAAATGACGGCAGCCACGTCGCCACTGTTGCAAAAACGCACCGGCAGTGCCTTCTCCGTTCCAATGTAAACAGAGTCAAACTCCAAAAGAATTTCTCCGTCGCCCCGCGGAGGCGCGACAATACTCAACGGTGCGACACACACCTCCGCGGTGAGACCCAGCCTCAGCGGTCGCTTCATGCCACGCACGCAGCACAGCAGAGAGGCCTGCACCAAACCTGGCATCTCATGGTGCACTGCAAGCGTGATCTCCTCCGTTTCTCCCACCCCAACGCGCCTACACATTGGCGTGACCATCAGCCACTCTGGTATGGATTCAAAGGAGAAGAAGGCACTGTTGCGGCCCCTGTTGTGCAGCATAACCTTTGCTTTTGTCGTCACACCGGCAGGTACCTGCTGCAATTTAAGCACATACTCACCACCTGACGTCATACTCAGACCACTGCCGGCCCTCTCGCCGACGGCCGTAGACCACCCACACGAAGTGGGAGCAATAATGCCCTTTAGATTAAGTACTCGCGTAGTCAATGCTCCCTTCACGTGGAGTTCTGCCTTCGTCTCCGCGTTAAGAACACCTTGGGGTGGAATAAATGTCAACTGTGCCGTTACCTTACTCATTGGGGCAATTGAGCCACTCGTCGGCTCAATCATGAATGGACCAGGATTCAGCGCCCAGGCATAGGCGGCCTCGCTGTTCCCGTGATTGAAAAGTGTCACGGTGGCATGCGCCATGGGATCATCCGCAAATTCCGTGAAATTAAGCACCACGTCGTCACGTGACAAGGTCACCTCCACCGGCACAACGTCCGCCTGCAGTGTGAATCGCAGCATGTATCGTCCATTAATTTTAATCTGCACAATCTGCTGGTAGGTCTGAACTACTGAGCTGCAGAAACTCACATCGTATGCAGCGGCACGCCCAGCTGGAATCACCTGCGAGTGTGGAGAAAAGGACAAGTGTGTCTCCTCCGTCGGCATCTCCGCCAGCACCGCGGCGGCAGTCCCGTTGTACAGGAAAAACATTTTTGTTGACGTGGAGCCCACGGTCACCCGCTGGTAGTCCATCACCTTGATCGGAGCCGCGATGCGCAGGAGCTCCATCGGCTGCAACTCACGCCGGCAATCCCGCCGCTCCGTCGCGTTGCTCGGGGTCTCCTTAAACACCTTCCGGATGAGCGTCTTCGCGTCTAAAGCGACGGGTGAGAAATGATCGCCTCCTCGCAGTATTGAAAACTCGCCGGCAGACTTTCGCTTGTAGATGGCGGTGGGAGGCTCCGGCTCGGGGGGCACCAGACCCTCCGCTGGAATCATGCCAAGGTCCACCGCATCCACGCTCGTCGCCGTCGCCGCCGCCGCACGGCCGGTGCTGGCGCAGGGCGGCTCCTGCACTAAACTCACGCCCTTCCGCATGCTGACAAAATCCTCCGGCAGTTTGTCAACTCCGCCAACAATCTTCTGCGTCGCAGAGAGCGACTTCGCCACCCCCGAGAGCGTCAGGCTTTCTTTTTCCGTTTCATTGAATACAACCCTCAGATGCTCCTCAAATGCGCCCAGGCGACGCGGGCGAAACGTCAAGCGAACGTCGCATGAGGCCCCAGGCTTCACTTTTCCCTCGGCAGGGTCGATCAGAAAGTGTGCGACGCGGGGAAACAGAAACTGCAACGGCATGTCTTTATGCCCATTGTGCACAGTCACCGTCACATCGCGGTAGTCGTTCATAGCGCACTGACCAAAGTCCACAACAGCTTGCGAAAGCCATGCGACCGTCGCAGTGCTCGACCCAGTCACCCGCAGCGTGTGTGTGTGCTCCACCTCTAGAAAAAGCAGCGAGTAGAGAGTCTCATACGTGGCACTTGAAGTGTGCCGATTCTCACGGCGGCACGACCACCCTCTTGGCGAATACGAGATGGGGGGTGAAAAAACGGCGCTCACACGTGTTTTCTCGTGTGGACCGAGTCGACCTTGTCGCGGGATGAAGTCAAACGGCGACTGCTGTTGCTGCTCGGCAGAGGCGTCGCCCGCAACCTGAAACGCGAAGCTCACCGGCTGCTCACTATCGTTACGCACATCCACCTCCACCACGCGTCGCGTGCCAGCGTACGTCTTGGCGAACCCCAGCGCGTGCACCTCCTCACCGCTGCGCGGGTCAAGGAGGACGCCTTTGCTGTCCATCACCTCAACCACCAACATCACTGTCCGCCGTTCCGCCTCGTCAGCCACGTCGAGCTGGAGCGGCAGGCGATGAAAGCCAACATCGAGCTTCAAGAGCTCCAGGTAGACGTCAACGCAGCCCATTGGCGGGGCAACGCACTGCAGCGGGTTCACCTTTACCCCCGTGACTTGTGCCGGAGCCAGGATTTGCACGTGTTTCTCCCGTCGACCCTTGTTTGTGAGACGCAGCGCCTTCGACAGACCATGACGGTTTCTCTCAACACGTCCAAAGTTGACCGTCGCGGGGAACTCAAGGTCCGGGCTGCACTTCGCCACGAGCGGCACCGTGACGGACTCATCGTTGGTGAACACGACAAAGCTGTCCTGGTAGTCCTGTGACACGTGCGTAATAAACTCCGCCTCAATCACGTGTGAAAGTCCAGGGGCAAGGCGCACCGAGGTGGTATTGATGCGAAACACACGCTGGTTACTAGGAGGCGTAAAACGCACGGTGCACATGGAGCGTGTATCATTCCGCACAGTGAAGGGAATGACGTAGGTGGTATCGATATCAAAATTGACGTAAAACCCCTGCGGTGGGCTTACCTGAATCGCCCTGCCATCCCTGGAATCCATCAGCGCGCGGTCCCGTCCCACCCCCCACCCCGCACTGTGGATCTTCGCCGCACTTGTGTTCTCTTTGATTTCCTACAATAAAGAAAAAAAAGACGGGCGCAATGGAACAGGTACAAAGCGGCACGCAAGGCAGACGTAGATAGATTGGGTCATTGCATCGCGGCTGGTGATGCTTCTCACAGAGATGCGCGTGGGCAACACCGGAAAGCTACGCAGTTTATTTCCTTCCACGTTACACGATTTTCAGGGGATGCATCTTCACACCCCCTTTGCCTCTTACTTTTATTCCCTCCTCTCACCGACAGCTTTGCGGTGCCATCTTTCCTTCGCAGTGTTGTGGTAGGTCCTTTCTCTTGCTGTTGTTGTTGTTGATTTGCCCATCCTAGTCCATCCCCCCCGAGCCCCTCCGTCCTTCCTCTCAGAGTCTCTCTCTCTCTTTCTCGCCTTTCTTTTCATCCTCTCACTTCCGCCTGGGTCTTCTTGAGCCTCGTAGCCGCGGCGGCTGGGTGGTTAACTCGCCTGCTGCCGCCTTAGCAGCGACATTGGCTCAATCTGCACGCTGCGCGAGAGGACAATGCCGTGGGCGACGCGGTCACGTACGGCGGCCTCCTTCGTCCCGTTGCGCACGGGCCCCACGTGTGCTGTGATGGTCCCAAGCGCCGGCGCCGCCGCCAGGGCCCACTGCGCGTATGAGGATAACACTCCAACCGCCTCCGCAATGGAGACTTCCGCCGCAGCCTCTTCGCGCGACACGGCGGCACGTCTGTCGCTGCCCAGCGTTGCGACCATCACAAAGTCCGCGACGGCGCAAAGCAACTCTACCGCGCCAAGCGCACCGGCGGCGAGGGCAGTGAGGGCACTCTCGCAGAGCGCCGCAGTGAAAAGCTTCGCCTGGGTCGGTCCTACACTCTGGCAAAAGACACGCACCGGGGAACCCCACTCCAACAGTCGCACCCCACCTGCCATAAGTGGCGGCTTCGTCGCAAGCAACACGGCGAGGCTGAGACGGACAGACGGGTCAGGGACGCTCAAGACCCGCAGAATAGTTGACGGGTGAAGTGACTGCGCCACTGTGATGTATCGCAGCAGGGCGCTGTTGCTGCCACGTTGTCCGCTCGCTGCCTGTAGTGCGTCAAGAATGGCGTGGCGATATTCCTCCGCAGCATCGGGTGCGCATGACACGTAGCGACAGTCGCGCACAATCATGGCGGGCAAACTAGATGCGGGGTCGTTTACGAAATCTAGTACGACATCCATCTCGTTCCTCACGCTATTGCCGGCTCCCTCCCTCCCCGACGTTTGCCCTCGCATCCCGTCGTGCGGCTCCCTCGCAATCTGCTGCACCAGCCAATCACATAACGTCGCTGTTGGTGTCGTCCCATTGTTGCCATCCTCCTCCCGCAGTTCCAGCAGACTCGCACCCAGCAACACATACAGCCTGGAGCCTAACGTGGTCAAGACGACGGTACCGCGACCTGTGGAATGCTGCAGCGCCACCTCCCGCGTCACGCACCCAGGGGAGAGCTTGAAGAGCTTTACAGCCCCCTCGCCAGAGTTTTTCAGCGCCCAGGTGTCACCGGTGTGCGTGTGGGCCACATCGGCAGGAACGAAGGGCAGTGGCGTCAGGTCCGTGGAGGAGGCCGCCCACTCCATCGTGGCGAGGGAGAGGGTCCTCGTCAACAGCGTCGCGGGGCCGGTGGCGGTGGCAGCGAACACAAACAGTACCTCACGCCTAGCCCAATCGAATGACCAACTGCTCAGCGGTGCATTCACGTCCAGCGGCATCGCCAGGCCACCGTCGCGCGTCTGTCCCAGCACTGTCACGCAGGCGGGCCCTACCGCCAGAAGAAGCGCGCTCAGGCGCCGCGTGGTGTTGCAGTACATAACAACAGCGATAGAGTGATCTACCTCGCCAGCAGGAGAGCCGTCCATCAGGACCACCTCCGTCGCATCCCCGGCGGGTGCGGGGTGTTGCAGCACCACGCGGCCGAGCAGCGGCGCTTGTGTCACCTCGGCCCCAAGGGCGGGATCCAACGCGTAGCAGGCAATGGCGTCGGCGGTGCGCACCACTAGCGTCGTGCCAAAAAATACCCTCATCTCTGCAATCCCGTCGGAGGCTGGTGGTGGTGGCTGCAGTACTTTCCGCGACTCCTGTGCAGGCTGGCCGCCGCTGCCGCCGCTGCGACAAAAGTGAACGTGGCCCGCCTCTGCGTAAAAAACGCCACACTGCTGCAGCGCGGCCCCGGGGGGGTGCCATGGCGCGCAGCAGTGAACACTTTCTGTCAAAGAAACCTCCACCGACGAAGCAGAGGCCGCCGCCTGCGCGGAACCCGGTAGTGGGCGAAAGTACACGACCTGTTGGCCACAGGCTGCTATTGTTGACTCATCCAGAACCTCAAGACGTTCGCAGCTCAGCGGCAGCTTTGCCACCTCCGTCATGTGTGCGCGTCTTCTGTCGCCGCCGAGGAAGGGAAAAGAGCGTTTGCGAGACCTGGTCTTGTTTATTGCCCCGTGAGTATACACCCATGTGTGGATTTGGGCGCAAAAAAAAAACAAGAGAAAAAAAAGCAAAAAAGGGGAAGAGGAAGCATGTTATGTGCATACAAAACCGCCGCAACAGGCGTAGGGGAGCGCCCGGCTGGATGTGGTTGCATTTCAGTGGGCCTGTGCCCGCATAGGCAAAGTTGTCAAATTCATTTTGCTCCGCAGGAGAGGCGTGGTGGCGTAAACGTTCTTCCCCCCCCCCATCGTCGCGTTAGATTGCTGGGTTTAGTAAACCTTTATAATTCTCTTTGCTGGAGAAGGAGGAGAACCCACCCACCCCTCACCTTCTCCCCCCAAAGAAAAAAAACGAAAAAGAAAGAAACAACGAAGAAAAAAAAAGCCACTAGTTCTGAAGAACAGAATGCTTTTAGAACCCAGAGAGCCCCATATCCACCCACCACGCGCCCCCTTAGAGCTGCAAACACAGACAAACAAACATGCAGACCTGTACTTCCCTCCCTTCCCACTCTCTCTGTTTACCCAAGATCAGGACCCGCATCGCTGCCTCCTGTTATCGCTTTATTAGCCTATCCTACTCGTTACTACCATCCCCTGTACAAAACGTAGTTGCAAGTGCACACGCAAAAACAAAGAGCGCGGGCGATGGCAATAGTGTTGCATGCTGATTCTGCCGCCAGCGCTTAGACTGTGCAATACACACGCAGCGCGCTGCACATAATAACAATACCTTCTTCTCTTTTTTTCTTGTTTTCGTTTGTGTAAGTGTTCACTGTATCCATACATCTCATGTGTGTCTGTGTGTGGGCGTGGTGTCCTGAATTTCTGCCGTTTCCCCGCTCAAGCGAGTCGCGTGCCTTTGCTCCTGATAACGCCTCGCGCATGATCTCTCCCCGCACACACATTTCATACGCACATGCACCGCAGACACAATGACTGCTGAGAGGCGCTGAAGAACAGAGCGACACTTTTGAGAGGTTAAACACACACACACACACACAATCCGAACAAAAAAAACTACAAAAAGGCTGGAACAAAAAAAAACAACGGAAAAACAAAACAGAAAGAACTGACACACACCCACACATGTGCAGCCGTGTCCGTACACGTATGTCGCATGTGCGTCGATACTTTTTCGTAGACTTCCGCGCACACTCATATTTACGCAAGTAGAGGCTACATACAAATACACACCTGTGTGAATGAAGAGGAGGGCGCATCCACTTGAAAACAAGAAAACAAACAAACAAACAAACAAACAAACAAAGAGAAAAAATCAAATGAGATACAACTCACACAATGAGAATGCATAAGCGAATAGAAAAGTAGCAGGCAACATGGCCCCTCCGCTTTCGCTTCCCTCCTGACGGCTGTAGAAAACTCGTTTGGATGAAGACTTCATCACCACAGTTGCAGTGGTGGTGGTTAGGTGCCTATCGCCTACCACCAGTCTCTCCTTCTCTCTCTCCCGCTCTTTGTCGGAGGAACGGAGAGTCATGCCTCCCTTTTCCCACTTCTCGTTGTCTGTACGTTTCAGTCCGTCAGCCCCCTCCTCCCTCTCCTCCATTCGCCCCCCTCCCCCCCGTCTGCCACCATGAGGGCCCCCACGCTGAGGTCGTCTAGCCCCCGTGCAGCACTTCTTCTCTCACCTCCACCGCAGTGCCGTGGAACACGCAAAAAAAAAAAAAAAACAATAAAATGTGCACGAGAAGCGAAGTCAGGTACTTGCAGCAAGACGTTTCGGGCACCCGGCTCCCCCGACCTTTTTTTTCACGCCTATTTCTTTTCGCATTTGTCTGTTCTGTGATGTTGCGACGACTGGGTGAGGCGGACAGAACTGTGGTGGACGCAGGAGGGGGTAAAGAAGGCAGGAAGGCATTGAGGGCGGGAAGTTCTTCACTTTTCTCTCGTTATCACCTTTCACGTGCACGTCTTCCCTTTTTTTTGTTGTTGTTTCTTTTGCCTCCCACGCCGCCCGTTTAGGCTTAGTTTGCTCCTCTTCATCATTGGTGCCGTTGCGGGAAAAAGAGGGTTCCAGAAAATTTGCATGTAGATGAATACAAAAACGTTTATTCTTTTTTTTTTCTTTTTCTTTTTCCTTCCTGGTCGTTGTGCACGAGCGGAGGCGGGAAGCGGAAGTGAAAGCCCGTCCATGCCACACCGAGGCGCAGTCATCCACGCAAAGGGGCAACTGGCATAAATCGCATGACTGTGACGGTGGCCCGCCCAGAGCTGCACCAGCAGTGGCACACTTCACTGCACCCCTCCCCCCAACGCATCCAATCGCACACACACACACACACACATACACACAGACACCAGCGAGAGGCCGATGGAGCACGCAAGCTGGTGTGCCGGTTAGAAATGAAAGACAGCCGTCGGTCCGCGTGTCTTTTGTTAACCCCTCATGAATGGTGCCAATTGTGGCATCTGTTGGCTGTCACCAACATACAGCATGGAGAAGGAGAAAAAAGAAGGGAAAAATAAGGCTCATTACCATATAAGTATTTCATTCTATGCATGCATGTGTCGCCAGAGAGATGTTCACGGCAGCGGCGAGACAAGTGACGAAAAAAGAAATGGCCGACAACAGCCCATTCAGCAACAACAGCCTCGCCTCTCCCCGTATGAGACGCATTTGTGCGCCCGCAACACATGCCGCAGGCGAGTACAGAAACAAAGAGCAAAAAATGGATAATTATGGGGTGAGAAGCGGTACATGGCGGAAGCACATGCGTGCATCCAACACGCACCGAACAGGACAGACGCACACACAAACAAACCCCTGAGTCAGTTACACACCCACGCATACCATATATATATATATATATATATCTTCAGAAAGAAGCTTGCGCGTGCGTATATGAGCGGCCATGCCAGCAATCAAAATAATTTCATAAAAAAAAAAAAAAAACAAAGCACAAAGACCAAAATAAAATACAAGCGCCTCATTTTTTTTTCTCATTCCTTTTGATTTTTCCCATGTTTTTTTTTTCTCCTTTTCATCGCTTGCTTTCTCTTTTTTTTTTATTTCTTTTTTTCTTTTGTTTCCTTGTATATTCGTGCAGCAGCAAGTGTCAGTAACTCCGCACGGCATCGGCAGCTCCCACAGATATGCAAAGAGAAAGTTGGAGATCTGTACTTGCAGCAACTGATAAATAAGCGGCGCTAAAGGGCAGCAAAATAAGACAGAATTTCCCCATACATGCACACACATAAACAAAGCAGAAAAAAAAGAATTGAGCACGAGCTGGAATGTGTGCGAGGAAGACAAACACGCATACACATGTGCGGCGCCAGAAGCAGATGCAGACGGATATGCATGTGGCCGTGGTAGCCATGGAGTACACAGCCAGCATGACTGCCGCGCATGTGTATATTACTACGTTGCGGTGTGGAAACTTCACGGCGTGAAAGCACCCCCGCGTCAATTCCCCTGCTCCACCGCAGTGAGACGCTGGCACATCACCTTACTAAAATTTCGTCTCTCTCCCCACCCCCATCATCACTCTTTGTTAAAATTCACCCATTCATGCATCTCTCAGCGCCTGCATTTCTTCTGCCACCGCCACCCGCACGCGCGTCCTCGGCCCACTCATGACCGGTACATCCATCTCCACCGCGGGCGATCGGCAACACATTACAGTAGAGAGAAACGAGCGAAAACGGAAGGAACGGACCTGCGCCTATGGACGCCGGCACATAAATTAAGCACCGCATTCGCCACACATCTCTCCTTCGTCGTTGCCCCTCCTTCGCTCAATCTTCGCTGCTCCTTCGTAGCCTCCCCCTCTCTCCTCGCGTCCCTCTCAGCAGGTGCCCCGATTGTTTGCTCCCAGACAGGCGCACACACAAAAAAAAAATAATAATAATAACAATAATAATAAAGCGATAGAAACTACCGCCGCCACCTTCCTCATTCCATGCCGGCGCTGCCGCAACCCTGAAAACATACTTGCAGAGCTGCACCTGTCCGCCGCAGCTGAGGCTGCTTGTGAAAAGATAAAAAGTACAAACGGAAGGTAGCGGTTCTCGTCCATTACTCTCCGCTTTTCTTTTTCGCGTCTGGGGTTCCGTTGCCCGCCTTTTAGGTGCAGAGGAGGAGAGAGGCAGGGGGTCAGGCCTGAGCGGCGCGCGGCGTGCCCACGCGAAGCCACACTCGCGGTGTCCCGCCGGGTTTGCCGCGCCGCCTGCCGGTGCGCCGTTGCGAGAAGAAGCGTCCGCTACGGCCGGGGGCACGTCGCAGTGAAGCGGCACGTTAAGGCGCCGTTCGCGTTTGACGAAAAGGACGAAATAAACAACAAACAACCACAAAAAGCACAGGAAGGGGAAGTGGTGGAGAAGCACACAACCACCAATAACTTTAAGAAAAAAACAACAACAAACCGAAAAAAAAATTAACCAAACGAAGCTGAATAAAAAAAAAACTAAACAGCAAATGAGATGAGACAAAAACAAAAACGAAGAGGTAGTTGAGGAGGGAGGGGTGAATAATACTTGCGGAGACTAATGACAAGAGTGACCAGTCGCAAGCAAGTCACCACCACCAGCAGCATCAATCAGAGTCTGTCTGTTGGCATGCCTCCCCCGCCCTCCCCAACACACACAAGCACACAGTAAATATACATAAATATACATATATACACACACATATATATATATATATGCCCAGATACATACAGCTATATATATATATACATGTATATACGTATATATGTATGTATGCATATAACAGATTTTTGTTGTTGTTTTCGTCTTCACTTCCCTGCACACCCTCACCTTCCCCTTTCTCTCCTGGCCCCACTCATTGCTTGGTGTCGTTGGTTTTGCACACATGCACACACGCGAACAAACATACAGAGGGAAAGTATGCATGCGAGGGAAAAATACATTACAAGCACTGATAGACAGCAGTATTTCAATTAGCGCCCCGTTCTTTCCTCGTTCATTCTTTCACTTTCACTTATTATTATTATTTTTTTTTTGCTTGCTTTAGGGGGAGAGTGGTGGTTCGTCTAACAAAAAATTATATATTACCCCAGTCCCCACGCAATAATGCGCCTCTTCGCTTCACGTTTTACCTGTTCCTTTTTTCTTTTTTTACTTTTCCTTTTCCATTCCTCTTTCCAAATTTCCTCCTGCCTAGAGGAGGAGAGCGTAGGGCAGCAAAAAGGCCTCCCCAAGCACACACACTCATACACTCACACTCACGCTCACGCTCTGCCCCTCCTTTCGCGTAAATCTTTCTACACACACACAAACTCTCTCTCTCTCAGACACAGACACAGACATGCACTCGAAAGCGCCTCGGTTCACCATTATGCCATCGCAAGAAGTCGCAACAACTTCATAGTGGTCTTCGAGACGGAAAGGCCCCCGGACTCCCCACGCTCCAGTAATAAACGTAGTTGGGGAGCAAGAAATTTTTGCACAGCTTCCAGCTCATCACATGCCTCCAATGCCAGTTGTAGCACGTCATCTAGGCAATCCAAGTAAGACTCCCTTGACATGTTTAACAGCCCTTCTAAAATTCCCCGAACAAAGGGAATCCAAAAGGCATGTGTGCAATCCTCCACCTCGTTATGTAGCATGGACCTCCATGCCGCCTCATACACCGGGAGACCCATGAGCGCGTTAACGGCACTCAGCTCCCCTGCTTGTACCAAAAACAACAATGTAGCCGCCTCTACCGCGCATATCTTGGGCGTCGGCTTCTCTTCTCTGCACGCCCCAGAAGCGGCAGGCAAGGCGCTGCTTGCCTTCAGGAATGGATAGGTGGGGGGGACGGAAAGGAATGTCGGTTTATAGCCATTGAAGAGCATCGTGGATGCGGGACGTGAGGTTGGCCGTAAAATCTGCTTTTCCAGCTCTTCCATGCACTGCTCGTACACAGGAGCTGCCGGGGGCGGAAGACCACGTTTCTCGTTGGTGAACTTTGGTAGACCCGGCACCGAAACCAAAGTACCCTTGGGGCTTTCAGGACCATACACGACACACGTGAGTTCGCGTCCATAGACACAGCCAGTATCTATGCCATATGCAAAAGGATGCACCTGGAGCCCAGAGCGTGCGTCGTGACCAAAGACAACGCATTCTGGCCCCTTCCAGAACTCCGCCCAGGGTTCACCACGGGTCCCCTTTACCACCGCCTTCCACTTTGCTTTGGTACTGGTGTATGTCTTTTTATCATCACGACCACTCAGCTTTTCTAATCGCCGCATATGCATAATTTCAAACACATCCTGATTATCAATGGAATTATTCAGATTGAGCCCCGCGTGCACCACGAGAACATTGTACTTTGGAATTCGCAGGATATGCGGGAGTGAACGCAAATAGTCCTGACACTCTTGTGGAAAGGAGAGCGCAAGCTGCATCACGGGATCAAGTTCCTCCTGTACAGTAAGCTTTGCCTTCCGCGATCTGGCGATACAAACGAGCAGTGTACTATCATGATTGCCCAGCACACCAATGGCACCCAGGGACTGAGCCAGCTGCACTGCCCCTATAGAGTCGGGTCCTTTATTGACCAAATCCCCAGCCAGAATCAGGCAGTCCTTCCCTTTCTGGTAGTTTACCTTTTGCATCAATTCTCCAAGAGGTTCCGGGCATCCATGCACATCACCAACAATAATGTACCGGTGATCACACGGGGGTGCAGTACGAATGATTGGCTTTTGTGCATTGAAGTTGTCTATAGGCTCAAGCAACTTTGGGCTTGCTGCCGTACCAGCCACCACCGTTGACATCCGCACAGCATTGGGATCGACGTTCGTCAAGGCAACTGCCACAGGGGGTGACGTCGAAGCCGCATCTCGGGCGGGTGCAACGGTGGATGTAGGAACTGCCTGAAGCAACTGATCAAGCTTGTTGCTGGATGAAGGTGTCAAGACTCTCGCCTCCTTTTCCCGTCGCACCACCGGCTGCTGCTGCTGCTGCTGCTGCTGCAGAGATCGGGGCGTGGGGCGCAAAATGCGAGTCGGTTTTGCACCAGCAGCAGCCTGGTTGGTCTTACTGAATTTCAATTCGTTGGAGGAAAGGTAGTTGCCAGTAGCACCAGTCACAGGATGAACTGGTGGAGGGGTGCTGTTGTCGCCCCTCCCGCTACCGGCCTTCACTGTGTCGGCCTGCGGTGGCACTGCAATGAAATTTCCATGAGCGCCAATGACGCCCTTCAGAGCAGCCGCTACATTGGAGGGAGCACTCTCAGGGCGCTGAACGGTGTTCTCCACACGTGCCCCGTTACTCAGCTTTAGCGCCCGCAGTTGCGAAAGAATGTTACTCTGTGGATCCATCTTGGTACGAATTCGGTGTCACAATTGCCGTAGACACGTCTTTGCAAATGCGGTTGGCTCGTTTGGTTTCTTCTTCCTTCCACGCGTGAGTGTGCCGCCGTTTTTCTTCTCACTTTGTTTTATATTCAACCCAACTCCTGGCTACGTATTTCCCCCGCCGCCACTCTCACTGTGTCCTTGTCTCTCACGGGGTTCCCGTTATGGTTGCCCTTGTTGCTGCTTGCCTTGTCGTTGTTCTTGCAGCCGCTGCACGTCTCGCACTCGCCCTGCCGCGTTCTCCAGCCTCGCGCCCTTCGCGGAGTTGTCGGTGCTCCTGATGATCGACGCGTGTCCGTCCGTGTTCCTCTGCACTGCCCGTTGGTGGTGGGACGCCGGGGTAGCACGGCAGCAGTCCGTCAAGCTTGCAAGCAAACGCAGGAACCACGAGCCGCCCACACTCCGACACACACACACTCACGCAACGACAACAACAGTAAAAAAAATTGACAAATATATATATATATATATATATGTATATATATATATTTCCCTCCCCTTGGGGCTTCTTCTCGTGTGGAGGGCCGCTGCTGAAGTAGTGACGAGGAGCAGTGGCAGCAACCAACAAGAACAACAACAAACAAAAAAAAGTATGAATGCGTGAGTGCAGTGGCGCTTATTTTGAAATAACAAAAAAGGAAACTAAAGTTACGCAGTCGCCAATTGTCGCCGTTTACTCCGCCTGTCTCTTCCTTCCCACGGCCAGCAGCCTGTGTGTGTGGGATAGAATGCCTGGACGAACTTTGGGGGANCGAGGCGAGTAGACGAGCCAACGACACACCTCTTCCCTGCCTTGCCTCGCCTGGGGCCACGCCGTCCTCGCTCTGTGTCGCGAAAATTGAT